GTTCTTCGCTGAAGTTGGGTTCCCATGCCCGCCTCTGAGAAATCCCTCGGATCATTTCCTGAGGTGCGTTAACTCCGACTTCGACAAGGTCAAGGCCACCCTGAAAGGCTCGATGAAAGCAAGGGTAAGATAACCCGACGATTCATGTGCCAACATGTTTTCTCATGCAAGTGGCCTGATTTTCATAAACTTTGCAGATCGAAAGGTCTGATGATCCTCTGGATAAGATAACCACATCAGAGGCCATCAGGAAACTCGTCTCTGCCTACAACAGGTCACAGTACTACTACGCTGCTAGGGAGAAAGTTAATGACATCGCGCGAATCGTACGTCCTCTCGTAGCCCCTAAATGCAACATATATGGTTCCCTGTCCTTTATATTTTGCGCATCCGGACAGGCAATGACCAAATGAAATCCATGTGTTGTTTGCTGCAGAAAGGAACGGTGATGGATTCAAGGGGCAGCCAGGCCAGCTTCTTGATGCAGGCGTGTACACTTACCAGGCGTTCATTCATCAACATGTCGCGCGACTTTGGGTACTACTGGCTCAGGCTCTTGATCTACCTCCTTGTGACTGTATGCATCGGCACCATCTACCTGGATGTCGGCACCAAATACACATCCATCCTGGTAAGTGTTGAATAATCGATCAGTGGTTATCTGGATCAAAATGCCATGAATCTGTAATAAAAAGTAGACACTTAAGCAAGGACATCATGTTCCTTCATGAAAAGTGTTCTTTGTGAGCAATGAGCCAATGACATTACCTGCCTCTTCTTCACAGGCCAGGGCAGCATGTGCAGCATTCGTCTTTGGATTCGTCACCTTCATGTCCATTGGAGGATTCCCTTCATTTGTGGAAGAAATGAAGGTGAAGCTCCAGAACTTTATCATTCCATACGGGAATCGGAACTGCTATGTACAATTTGCTCACCTGCTTCTTGACTTGTTAACAGGTTTTCCAGCGGGAACGGTTGAATGGGCACTACGGTGTTGCAGCATTTGTCATTGCCAACACCATCTCTGCTCTGCCATTCCTGGTCCTGATATGCTTCATGTCAGGGACAGTATGCTACTTCATGGTGCGCCTTCATCCTGGTTTCACACACTACATCTTCTTCGTCTTGAACCTCTACGCCAGTGTCACTGTGGTTGAGAGTTTGATGATGGCCATTGCAAGTGTCATACCCAATTTCCTCATGGGCATCATCATAGGAGCTGGAATTCAGGTACATTTTGGCCCAAATTTTCATTTGGTATCATCTACTCCTATTAACATGTCTGTTCAGACAGCAAATGTGCTTTGCTGCCTGTTTGTTGAAATTACAGTTCCTATGGTAGCCAGTAAATGGACATGATAATTACAACTTAGTAGCTTTGAATCTAGTGCAGTTCTCTTCACAGGTAGGGATTAATGCACCTTGCTAAATTAAAGGAAAAAATAACGAAGCCTGTTGTTTCTCTTTGATACAATTTCTAAGCTTGTAGGCGTAAGATGTGTTTATGAATGAGAGAACTCCAAACTTCCAAAATGTTCTCTAGAACTAGAATACATCACAAGGCTTCGATAAAAATGTGGTAGTACTTCAATAACGAAGCATTGTTACTATGCACTAAAAAGTAGTACTGACCAGAATAGAAGTATAACTTCAGCAAATATAAAAGATGGCACGAGATCTTCCAAAGATCATTATGGTCTAGGAAATAGATACTGCAGACATAGGCCCTGTTTGGTTCGGCTGTGGATTTCTAAAAGCAGCTGTGAAAAATCTGATGTGAAAGAGATGTAGGTCATTTGGCAAACCAGCTGATACAGCTTTTTCAGATTTTGGCCCGCAGCGGAATCAGATTTTGGAAAGCACATCCTGGGCTGCTTCCGCTTTTGGTTCAGATTTTGGCAGCGGATTTCTGGAATCGGATTCTGCTGGGTTCACCCTTTGGTTCAGATTCTGCTGCGCGGCAGCGGAATCCGTCGATAAAAGTTGAACCAAACAGGGCCATAGACTGTCCTATTATTTAGCTACTATGTTATGTTACCGAGTTGCAAAAGAAACGTAGATGTGCATCCCTGGAAGCTTTTCTACCTGAGAGCTCCACATGAAGAAATTGCCTCACAATTTTTCTTGGACAGGGAATATTCATGCTTGTCTCCGGATACTTCAGACTTCCGTATGACATCCCGAAGATCTTCTGGAGATACCCCATGCAGTACATCAGCTTCCATTACTGGGCACTACAGGTAAATTTGAGGTTGCTACAGACCACGGAAGCATGGTGGTTTCCAGTATGAAATTTGACATCAAACTCTTATCCGTGTACAGGGCCAATGCCAGAATGACATGGACGGTCTCCTATTCGACAACCAATACCCAGACCAGCCGAAGATCCCTGGGGACTTCATACTGAAGTACATCTTCCAGATCAACGTGCACCGGTCGAAGTGGATCGACCTGTCGGTCATCTTCAGCATGATCTTCATCTACCGCCTGCTGTTCTTCATCATGATCAAGGTGAACGAGGACGTGATGCCCTGGATCCGGGGCTACATCGCGAGGAAGAGGCTTCAGAAGAAGGTGCCTGCCATCGGCAAGACGCCTTCCCTGAGAGGCTATGTTGTGGATCCAGAGCTTGGTCCTAACGAAGGCTAGAAAGATAAGCTGGGGGTTGCTGGGTAGCACAAATAGGAGGGTTTCCTACCGGTTCTTGGCGTAATATGTATCTATGATCAGAGAAACTGGTAATTTTTATACGTTTTGGAAGTGAAGCTCGTTTGAGTAGAGGTACATACATACATGTAATGCGTTCAAAAAATGGCATCAGCGAGGCATGCAGAGTGACACATACTTGGACGTTCACAGTTCATTGCTGTCTTGGAAGGGCAGCAAAACAGGCAGGAATGGTTGGGGGCACTAATTGGCACACATGGCCGCACTGCATGAGCACAGTGATTCTGCTCGCTTGCAGATTTACTTACTGAGACGACAGTACTGAAGTTACAGTAAAGATCCATTTGCGGTGGACGGCATATCAATGCCATAATTGCGGCTAGATAGATTGACAGGTTTACAAAACATTCCACATGGATTGACAGGTTCTCTCTAAACAGTCCACATGGGGTCATTCAAGTTGTGTTTGTAAATATCTGGCCTTCCTTTTCAAAACTACACTACCCAGTGCTGACCAACAATAATAGTGACTGATACTACAAGTCACTGCCGACCAACAATAATAGTAAATGCAGCGCAGTGAGTGGCACCACGAACTAAAGATTTAAAGCCACCCTGTGGACGCGTGTAGTACTGCATACAGCGTGTACAGGAAGACCTTTGGTGCTAAACTGCAACATGCAGGACGATTTAGGCTGGTCCCCTTATGCCAGGTTCGAAGTCGGTATATGCCCCGGCGATTCGAAGGTGCATCCAGGAGCGAACAGGGTGAAAAAACAAATGATTTTCAACACAAGAAAAAAATTTAGACATGTCCGTGTCATTCACATGAATGTAAACTTTCATGGAGAATAGACAAACCTTGTGGTTTGTGTGAAAGAAAACACATTTGATGCTTAAAAAATGGCTTTTTAGAGAACTTGCTTTTGTTTGTTTTAGCGAGGCCCAAACATTTCTTTTCTTCAGAAACTTTCAACGCACATAAAATACATTGTTTAAAAAAATATTGTTGCCGAATTTACTATTCACCCCAGGAGCCCACGTGTGTGCCCCTGGTATCACATCTCCACTAACAATTGTCGCTTTCATCTAAATAAAATGGTCCCTCTCTTTGTTTCCTCTAAAAATGTCCCAGATCCGTTTTGGCATGCATACATCAGAGGGAATTCTAACAGAGTATATTTTGCACTTCCAAACAGTCAAAAGGGGTTAGTAATACTCCATAGACGATCAATCTTAATTGGAAGTGTGGGTCAGATAGTCACTATGACGTTAAATGCCATGGATAGTATGATTGCAGTGGCATCTGGTGGTGTGTTTACTGTGTTTTCCCTGAATGAGACCATGTTTTCTTTTTACGATACTTGCTGAATTCATCTAGAACAGGTGTTGTAACTTCTAAAATATCTTCATCCTTAGAAGTTACTCCCTCTGTAAAGAAATATAAGAGCGTTTAGATCACTACTTTAGCGATCTAAACGCTCTTATATTTCTTTACGGAGGGAGTAGAATGAATGAGCAGACCTTCCACCCAACTCAAAAACAAATGGCATGGTGATAGAAGCAACGAGAGGAGTAAATAAGCAACAGAGAAGATGTCATGTGCGATGCAGGGAAACGTTATGGGTGAGACATACATGTGCATGTGCTCGTAAGAAAATCTGCCAGCAGGATATAAACATTGGAGAAACTGGTGGTTTCATTTAAGAGGGACCTGGAGGTTTGATGAAGCGCAGTTAGTCCAAATAGATCCCATGGAACGAAAAGCTAGATTCGCATATCTTGCTTAAGAGCCATACCAGAAATCTGAATCCATATATAAAGGATGGCCTAATTTCGTGGCCAGCTGGGTTTTCTTGGGCGTTATGCACTTTCTATCTGGTGGTGTCCTAATTTTATTCAAAGCATACCTAAATTTAGTGAGAATTGCTTCGAACACTTCTATCATAAGAGTCACTTTTCTTAGCAGTTGCCTTGGTAGAGATAATCCTTCAGAGCAGCACGGAATATAACTAGGAATAGTAGTACTGATGTAGACAAAAAACATCAAATAATTTATATTGAAGTGGAAAAGGGGTGCATGCAACTGCAAGTGATAATCTGGAACAAAGAAACTAGCACAACATTTTTGTAGATCAAAACGATTCAGGTATTTTTCAGGGTCGATATTGAGGTACCCACACCCGAATGTCACCAACGCAAGACATCAAGTTAATATATATGAAAGCCACAAACAAGTCATAAAACTAAAGGCACACCAGCTAGATAATGTTACCTAACCTAATCTACTGATAATAAAAGCAAGTAAGTACCATGCTGTGATATAGTTTACTTTAGCTGGTGCCAGGGTCAAGGACTGGAAGCCTACAGTAAAAGCTAATGGATTTGTCCGTCAACCGTGTTCCTGGAATGAAGTACTGGAATATCACTGTCAAGCAAGCACCATTGGGAGCAATACCTATACAAAAAATCAAGGCAATAGTTAATATAAATTTAGATTATTTTTCAACAGGTTTAAAGAGGCGGCTGAAAAACAAACCATAGAAGGTACAATCTGGCTTGGCCAAATGACATTGTAGGCTCTTAACTAGGTGCTTCATACTCACTTGCTGCAAGAAAATAGAATAACAGACACCTGTGAACATCTGACATGAAAAGAATAAAATGATGAATAAATAAATGGAGCTTAGGAGCAATACCACTGACAGTGCTTCGCCTCTCTCAACCGCCATTTCCATACGAATGGTAGCACTCACATTTTGATCAACAACAGGTGCATTTGCTGAAATAGAAAACATCGTTATACAAAAGTGAAGTGATTTGAGCACTAATGACACCTACTTTGGAATTTAAGGAAGCTAATGCTGAATACTGATTACAACTCCCAGCGGCCATAGTTTACCACGAGCACCAAGAATCCGAAGCCTTTTGAATTCTGAACCAACGGTAACAAGAGAAGTTGAAACTTGTAGATGGAGATCACCATATTGGGTAACAGTTACAGACAGCAGATCACCAATGTTTTTTAGACGATCCACCAGGTTCTGTAACTGTTGCAGATCTGGAACCTGGACCAGAGTCTGCAGAAAGATAAATTTCTTCTAATAAGCAGCTGACAGTAGAAAGATAACACCAAGCGAGTATGGAAAAAGCATAGAACATCAGTAAGATAAATTTCTTCTCACAATCATCTAAGTTGAAGATACATTTAAGATGAAAAGCAGTACAGACATCTGAGTAGATACAGATATTTCAGCGACGAAAAATACTTAGCATTAAAAAGAACATCTGAACTGCGAGAACTAATAAGAACTGTTCAATAGGCATCATTGCTATTTTTACATTTTATACTTCTGTAATCATTTGTTGACTATTGTTAGTATAAATCCAGTTTCTTGCTCGCAGATAGATCATTTTAGTAATTTCCGAAAGGTAATAACATTGCAAGACAGGAATATCCACATCAATCAAAATGAACTAGACGTCTAGATCAGTGCTTCAAATAATGAGACACAATCAAATTTTACTGTCTAAAAACTAAACATCTTTACTAGCAGTAAATTATGTGAAATCATTCACAGATTCATATTTTTTATATTTCTACATTTGAGATTTTAATTATTTGTTGATTATTATTAAATGGATATATTGTGCTGTATCTTGGTGGAACATGGATATCTTGAGGATTTTTTGGTACAACAATTTAAGAGTGGTTCTGTGCTTCAGATTTACATTGATTGGACCTTTAAAACAGCTTCAAATAATGAGACGCGAATACATGATCAAACTTCATCATGTTAAAGCTAAAATTATGTTTACTACTGGCAAATTATGTGAATACCAAGTTCACGGGTTCAACAAACAAAATGTGGTTCGGAGGATGGATCCAGGCCATTACTAGTTCTATGACTCAGCCTGTATGAATTGGTACCTAATTTTGTTTCTGCAGTCCAGCATCACAACTAAGCCATCAGAAGTTTCATAGCCACAACCTGCTTCCATTTGATTAATTCGTTTCGCATTTGGACAGCTAGAGTACATTATGTTGTGAAAACATTCAATCGGGTATACAAATAGGAGAATTTTTTTACTGATGAATGATAAGAAACTGGAAAATGCCATGTGAGAGCACCACACCTCAGGAAGCTCTTGGGCGGCGTCAAGCGCATCCTGCAAGCGCGCAACATCGGAGCGTGACAGTGGCTTCGAGATGGGGACGTCCTGCACGACGGCGGAGCGAGCGCCCTTGGTCTCGAACGTGAGGAACGGGGCAGCAGAACGGGACCCGGGGGTCTGCTTGTTGACGAGCTTGACCTGAATCGCCGCGGGGGCGTCCCCGTCAGCCGGCGACTGCGCGTGGACGGCGAGCGCGCTACGGATGGCGCGATGGAGCAGCGCGACGTCGACGGAGAAGGCGACGCGGTTGCCGTCCCGCGACGACACGTTGTACTCGCGGAAGAGGAGGTCCTTGGCGAACTGCGCGACGCACTGCGGCCCGTCGCCTTCGGGCCCCGTGGAGCCGAGGAGGTTGTGGAGGAGCATGGCGTGCGTGGGGGTGAGGTAGACGTGGCACACGCGGCCCACCTTGTCGATGGCCGGGAGGAACCCTGCGGGAACGGAATTGCGGGGCGCGCGTGAGGTGTTCGGCGAATTGCGACGGGGGGAGGGAGGGGAATCGAGGAGTGCGCTGCACTGGGGCTTACGCTTGTCGAGCAGGGAGATGCCGTCGTCGGTGAAGGAGGCCTTGAACTTCATGGTGGCTTGCGCGCGCTCCTCGATGGACGCGGCGGCGGATTCCGGCCTTCGTCTCCTCGGCTGGCGGCGAGGGACTGGCGGTGGGGGTGCGCCGCGCAGCCGTGTCTTCGACTCTTCTGGTTTTTTGGCGCTCCTTTGGATGCTTCCCGCGTAGCAGGGCCTTACACTTTCGGCTCGCCTCTTCTAGAAAACTGTGGGCCTTGTGCCTTCGTACTTTTTCAACAAAGTGGGCTGGGCTATGCTATTCAGAGATGGGTTTAATTCCGAGGGAAATTTTACAGCGGACCTGAGTTGAGAATAGCTTGTCTCAAGGCGTCTGCTCCGTGTCAAACCGGCGTCTGCTCCGTGTGCGTGATTCCCCTAGGGTTTCTCTAGGGTTCCACCTCTTCCTCTGGCGATCTAGCCAGAGTCCACGTTAAACCTCGGTAGATCACCGGCTTTTTTCCGGTACTCACCGAGATCTACCTCTGCACGTCGTGCGCAGGCGATTGCATGGCGGATTCAACATCTCAGGAGACGGGGGGTGCGGAGGAAGTTCTGGCGGCGGTGGATGTGGTGCATACGATGGAGGATGAGATTGGATCTGGAGGAGGAAGGCGGGGACGAGGGAGTAGGGTGGAGGATGCATCGAAGGGAAGGGAAGGAGAGGAGCGGGACTCGCAGAAGGGGGACTTGCCGGACGGAGAGGAAGAGGAGTATGGCGACCTTCGCGATCAGGATCTTGAGGGTCAGTTTGCAGGGATGAGGCTGCATGGGAAGGAGGAAGAAGACCTTGATTTCTCGGAAGAAGTAGATGATCTGATTAAGGATGTACGCTGGCTCGCCTTGTTCCGTGTTCATACCACAAAGCCGTTTAGTCACGCGGAGCTTTTGTCTCAGATGCGCAATGCGTGGTCGGCGGCGCAAGGGGTCACCTTCAACATTAAGGGGCCAAACTTGTTTCTTGTTCAGTGTCACTGCCTAGGGGATTGGAGGAAAATAATGGAGGGAGGTCCATGGTTATTCAGACGGGCTCTGGTGGTGATCGAAGAATATGATGGTTTTTCAGATGTGAAGGATTATAGTCTGAACATGATTCCAGTGTGGGCTCGTGTGAAGGGCTTACCAGACGGTTTAACAAGGAGGAAAGAGCTGGCCGAAAAAGTTGCTGCAAAGGTGGGTGACCCTCCGTTCACGGTGATTGTAAACAAAGGAAGAATCAATCCAGCAAGTACATTACGTGCTCGTGTTTTTGTGAATGTAGACACACTGTTGTCCGTTTTGTGCACATCACTTTGAAAGAATGCAGAAAGTATAGTGTCTACTATGAAAAACTTCCGGATTTTTGCTTCGCATGTGGCTTGATGGGGCATCTGGCAGACGAGTGTGGAGATGGAGTGCATGATCCCAGAACCTTTGAGTGGGGAGAATGGCTGTTATGGGAGCCTGAGATTCCTACGGGTCAGCCCTTTGGTGGTAGGGGGAGAGGAGATGGTACAGGAAGAGGAAGGGGGAGAGAGCCTGGCAGGGGAGACCGTGGGGGCAGAGGTGGTAGAGGGACGACGGTGGTTAGAGACGGAGGGGTAGCACAAGAAGATAACTCGCAGCCGGTGCAACAAATGGACTTGGATGTTGAAAGAGGAGCTCGTAAGCGACTGGTTAATGCCGATGGATCTCTCACTATAAGGGGCAGCCGATATCAAACCTTCCTGGTAGAGTTGCTGGCACGGTTATGTTGCTGGAGGGTGCGACTCCAAGCTCAAGTAATAATGCCTCGGCTTCTACACCAGAGAAGAATCCAGTGGTAAAGAGGAGGAAGCAGCAAGGTGATGAGGGAGAGAACATGGTTCTACCTGTTGGAAATATGCCCTAGAGGCAATAATAAATTGATTATTATTATATTTCCTTGTTCATGATAATCGTTTATTGTCCATGCTAGAATTGTATTGATAGGAAACTCAGATACATGTGTGGATACATAGACAACACCATGTCCCTAGTAAGCCTCTAGTTGACTAGCTCGTTAATCAATAGATGGTTACGGTTTCCTGACCATGGACATTGGATGTCGTTGATAACGGGATCACATCATTAGGAGAATGATGTGATGGACAAGACCCAATCCTAAGCCTAGCACAAGATCATGTAGTTCGTATGCTAAAGCTTTTCTAATGTCAAGTATCATTTCCTTAGACCATGAGATTGTGCAACTCCCGGATACCGTAGGAGTGCTTTGGGTGTGCCAAACGTCACAACGTAACTGGGTGGCTATAAAGGTACACTACGGGTATCTCTGAAAGTGTCTGTTGGGTTGGCACGAATCGAGATTGGGATTTTGTCACTCCGTGTAAATGGAGAGGTATCTCTGGGCCCACTCGGTAGGACATCATCATAATGTGCACAATGTGACCAAGGGGTTGATCACGGGATGATGTGTTACGGAACGAGTAAAGAGACTTGCCGGTAACGAGATTGAACAAGGTATCGGTATACCGACGATCGAATCTCGGGCAAGTACCATACCGCTAGACAAAGGGAATTGTATACGGGATTGATTGAGTCCTTGACATCGTGGTTCATCCGATGAGATCATCGTGGAACATGTGGGAGCCAACATGGGTATCCAGATCCCGCTGTTGGTTATTGACCGGAGAACATCTCGGTCATGACTGCATGTCTCCCGAACCTGTAGGGTCTACACACTTAAGGTTCGATGACGCTAGGGTTATAAAGGAAGCTTGTATGTGGTTACCGAATGTTGTTCGGAGTCCCGGATGAGATCCCGGACGTCACGAGGAGTTCCGGAATGGTCCGGAGGTAAAGATTTATATATAGGAAGTCCTGTTTCGGCCATCGGGACAAGTTTCGGGGTCATCGGTATTGTACCGGGACCACCGGAAGGGTCCCGGGGGCCCACCAGGTGGGGCCACCTGCCCCGGGGGGCCACATGGGCTGTAGGGGGTGCGCCTTGGCCTACATGGGCCAAGGGCACCAGCCCCTAGAGGCCCATGCGCCAAGATATAGGAAAAAGGGGAGAGTCCTAAAGGGGGAAGGCACCTCCGAGGTGCCTGGGGGAGGATGGACTCCTCCCCCCCCCTCTTAGCCGCACCCCTTCCTTGGAGGAGGGGGCAAGGCTGCGCCTCCCCCCTCTCCCCTGCCCCTATATATAGTGGAGGGGAGGGAGGGCATCCATACCTGAGCCCTTGGCGCCTCCCTCCCTCCTGTGACACCTCCTCCTCTCCCGTAGGTGCTTGGCGAAGCCCTGCAGGATTGCCACGCTCCTCCATCACCACCACGCCGTTGTGCTGCTGCTGGATGGAGTCTTCCTCAACCTCTCCCTCTCTCCTTGCTGGATCAAGGCGTGGGAGACATCGTCGAGCTGTACGTGTGTTGAACGCGGAGGTGTTGTCCGTTCGGCACTAGATCATCGGTGATCTGAATCACGACGAGTACGACTCCATCAACCCCGTTCACTTGAACGCTTCCGCTTAGCGATCTACAAGGGTATGTAGATGCACTCTCCTTTCTACTCGTTGCTGGTCTCTCCATAGATAGATCTTGGTGTTAGGTAGGAAATTTTTTGAATTTCTGCTACGTTCCCCAACAGTGGCATCATGAGCTAGGTCTATTGCGTAGATTCTTTGCACGAGTAGAACACAAAGTAGTTGTGGGCATCGATATTGTTCAATATGCTTGCCGTTACTAGTCTTATCTTGATTCGGCGGCATCGTGGGATGAAGCGGCCCGGACCAACCTTACACGTACGCTTACGTGAGACCGGTTCCACCGACAAACATGCACTAGTTGCATAAGGTGGCTGGCGGGTGTCTGTCTCTCCCACTTTAGTCGGATCGGATTCGATGAAAAGGGTCCTTATGAAGGGTAAATAGCAATTGGCATATCACGTTGTGGTTCATGCGTAGGTAAGAAACGTTCTTGCTAGAAACCCATAGCAGCCACGTAAAACATGCAAACAACAATTAGAGGACGTCTAACTTGTTTTTGCAGGGTATGCTATGTGATGTGATATGGCCAAAAAGGATGTGATGAATGATATATGTGATGTATGAGATTTATCATGTTCTTGTAATAGGAATCACGACTTGCATGTCGATGAGTATGACAACCGGCAGGAGCCATAGGAGATGTCTTTATTTTTTTGTGACCTGCGTGTCAACTTAAACGTCATGTAATTACTTTACTTTATTGCTAACCGTTAGCCATAGTAGTAGAAGTAATAGTTGGCGAGGCAACTTCATGAAGACACGATGATGGAGATCATGATGATGGAGATCATGGTGTCATGCCGGTGACGATGATGATCATGGAGCCCCGAAGATGGAGATCAAAAGGAGCAAAGTGATGATGGCCATATCATGTCACTATTTGATTGCATGTGATGTTTATCATGTTTATACATCTTATTTGCTTAGAACGACGGTAGTAAATAAGATGATCCCTTACAACAATTTCAAGAAGTGTTCTCCCCTAACTGTGCACCGTTGCGACAGTTCGCTGTTTCAAAACACCACGTGATGATCGGGTGTTTTATTCAGACGTTCACATACAACGGGTGTTGACGAGCCTAGCATGTACAGACATGGCCTCGGAACACATGCAAACACTTAGGTTGACTTGACGAGCCTAGCATGTACAGACATGGCCTCGGAACACGGAGACCGAAAGGTCGAACATGAGTCGTATAGAAGATACGATCAACATGAAGATGTTCACCGATGATGACTAGTCCGTCTCACGTGATCATCGGACACGGCCTAGTTTGACTCGGATCATGTAATCACTTAGATGACTAGAGGGATGTCTATCTGAGTGGGAGTTCATAAGATGAACTTAATTATCCTGAACATAGTCAAAAGGATTTTGCAAATTATGTCGTAGCTCACGCTATAGTTCTACTGTTTAGATATGTTCCTAGAGAAAAATTAGTTGAAAGTTGATAGTAGCAATTATGCGAACTAGGTCCGTAAACTGAGGATTGTCCTCATTGCTTCATAGAAGGC